TCAAGTTGGCCCATTGCCATTCGCAAAGGTACTCGCTCTACTCGTAATCCACATCCCATTTACAATTTTCTTAGCTACCATAGATTGTCTCCTTCCTATTTTTCTTTTGTTTCTTCCGTATCCACTATTACTATTCCAAAGAATGTAAAAGAGACACTTGATCATCCTGGATGGCGACAAGCCATGATTGATGAAATGCAGGCTCTTGAGCACAATGGTACATGGAACTTAATTCCTCTTCCACATGGGAAGAAGACTGTTGGTTGTCGTTGGGTCTATGCCATTAAAGTTGGACCAAAAGGTGAAGTTGATCGACTCAAATCTAGATTAGTAGCAAAAGGCTATACTCAGATCTATGGCCTTGACTACAGTGATACTTTTTCTCCTGTGGCCAAAATGACTACTGTTCGACTTTTCTTTGCTATGGCAGCTATCCGTCATTGGCCTCTTCATCAGTTAGATATCAAGAATGCGATCTTGCATGGTGATCTTGAGGAGGAAATTTATATGGAGCAACCTCCTGGTTTTGTTGCTCAGGGGGAGTCTAGTTTGGTTTGTAAGTTACATCGTTCTCTCTATGGTCTCAAACAATCTCCACGTGCTTGGTTTGGAAAGTTTAGTCACATTGTTCAAAGTTTTGGATTAAAACGAAGTGAAGCAGATCATTCTGTTTTTTATTATATTGCTTCAGGAAAATGTGTTTATTTAATTATATATGTAGATGATATAGTCATTATAGGGAATGATGTTGATAAAATTTCTTTGCTAAAAAAAACATTTATGCAATCACTTCCAAACTAAGGATCTTGGTTGTCTCAAATACTTTCTAGGGATTGAAGTGGCTCAATCAAAAGAAGGCATCGTAGTCTCCCAAAGAAAGTATGCTTTAGATATCTTGAAAGAAACAGGCATGATTGATTGTAGACCGATGAAATGACCCTATGGATCCAAATCGGAAATTAATGGCGGATCAAGGTGAACCGCTCTCGATCCTGAGAGATATAGAAGACTTGTTGGGAAACTCATTTATCTCACCATTACCGGACTGACCTATCTTTTGCCGTTGGAGTTGTGAGTCAATTTATGCAAAATCCGCGTACTCGATCATTGGAATGTCGTCGTTCACATCCTAAAATATCTCAAAAAAGTTCCAGGACAAGGTCTGTTGTATGAAGATAAAGGGGGTACCCAAATATCTGGGTATTGTGATGCTGATTGAGCTGGATCCCCTATGGATAGACGCTCCACTACAGGATATTGTGTTCTCATTGGAGGCAATATTATTTCTTGGAAAAGTAAGAAACAAAATGTAGTGGCCCGGTCTAGTGCTGAAGCTGAATATAGAGCAATGGCATCTCTCACTTGTGAACTAGTGTGGGTGAAACAATTCCTTCAAGAACTGAAATTTTGTGAGATCCAACAGATGAAGATGTATTATGACAATCAAGCAGCTCTCCACATTGCCTCTAATCCGGTGTTCCATGAAAGGACCAAACATATAGAACTTGATTGTCATTTTATTCGTGAAAAATTGTTGTCTAAAGAAATTTACACTGAATTTGTCGGGTCCAATGATCAACTTGCAGATGTGTTGACAAAGTATTTAAGAGGACCTCGAATTGAATTTATTTGTTCCAAGCTTGGTACATACAATTTGTATGCTACAGCTTGAGGGGGAGTGTTAGAATTATTATTAGTTAGTGGTTAGTGGTTAGTAGTTAGTAGTTGGTGGTTGGTGGTTGTTAGTAGTTAGTGGTTGTTGTTTTAAATGTTGTAATCCTATATATATATATATGAGATCATAGAGTGGAGTAAGCATCCCACAAAATTAGAAATCTTCTTTTCATTCTCTTTACTCTCTTAACTATAATAAATAATAACAATATATATATATATATATATATATATATATATAACGTTAAAACTTATAAAATTTATATTTTTTATATTGAAAATTTCAAATACCTATATCTTTTTTATTTGATAAAACTTCATATTATTCTTTGTTGAGTAATTCTTACACCTTTAATTCAAGTCATAAAGATAAAAATAATCGGTGTTTAGGATGAACAAGGAGAACAGGAGAGAAGGTTATGTTTTAATTCAAGTCATAAAAATAAAAATAATCGAGTGCTTAGGATGAACAAGGAGAATAGGAGAGAAGGTTATGTTTCAGTAAGGAGAATATTTTTTGTGAGAGTGAAACTTTTTTAATTCTCTTTTTAAAATTTTTAACTTTATATATTATCTTTATAATTAATTTTATTATAATAAAAAATTATTTTTTTATTATAATAAAAAATTATTTTTTTATTAATTAGGCGGGCCGCAAGTCGGCCCGCCCCGTCCCACGGGTTGGCCCGTCGGGTTGGCGGACTTAGCAAGGCGGGCCAAAGCGGGCTGAAAACACCAACCCGTCCCGCCATATTATGGCAGGCTGGCAGGCCCTGCTATACCATTTTGCCATGCTGTATGAGGACAAGTGGACTGATGCAAGATACCATGTGAACTCAAAACGACAGAAAAAAAACAGATGAAAAGTACGCCTTGGCATTTTCACTTCTCAAGATTTTGATCACTTGCCGAATTGATTCTTAATTTCATTTAAAAAGGATGTGAAGATGGATAATAATTCAGAGTGATCTTTCATAAGATAAACTCAAGTAAATCTCGAAAATTCATCAATGAAAGTAACAAAATACCTAAAACCAAAAGATGAGACACGACTAGGTCCCCAGATATCAAAATGGATGATAAAAGAACTAGAATTACCTTTTGATTGAGACCTTTTAGGAAAGGCAGATCTAACATGTTTGCCTAGTTGACATGACTCACAATCTAAGGTTTGGAGACTACTAAGTTCAGGACACATTTTTTTAAACTTAGACAAATGAGGGTGGCCAAGCTGATCATGTAACATTTTAGGACTAGGGGCTGCAACACATGACACTCGTGGCCGAGATCCAAAATGATATAATCCTCCTGCTTCATATCCTTCTCCAATCTGTCCCCCCGAATCATGCTCCTGTGTAACAAAAGATTTGTTAAACAGTTTAAAATTTTGGTTAACTAGCTTAAGGAAATTAAATTAAAGGAACAATTAGGGACAAAAAGGACAGATTTTAGATTTAAGGAGGAAGACAGGATGACTTGACCAACTCCCTTTGAGGAAGTTTTAGAGCCATTTGCAAGGGTTATAAAATGAGGTTTGTCTTGAAGTGAAATGGTTGAGAACAAGGAGGTATTACCAAAGATGTGGTCAGAAGCACCAGAATCAATTACCCATGAATTGTGACTTTCCATGGATTGAGAGATGCAAACTGTTGATGTACTTAGAGCTTGAAATGGCTATGTCAAGTTGTTGGACTTGAGTCGTAGGTACTCTTGATACTCGTCCTCAGTGAACTTGGGTTCAGTCGTTTCAGTCTGGGTGACATTGGCTATTTTGGATGGAAAATCGTGTAAGGAGTAACAGTTTTTGTGGGTGTGACCCATCCTTTTGCAATATGTGCACTAAGGACGCCCACGACCACCACGTCCGCCTCTTCCTAGAGTGGCGACCATAACAGATGGTTCTACTAGAGCAGGAGTTTCCAAAGTTCCATATTTTGGGACACGAACCATGCCTTGGATTAAGGTGTCCAAGGAAGGGACCTCATGAGAGGTTAGAAGCTGATATCTAATATGGTTGAAGTCTGGATGTATAGCACGAAGAATCATCACCATATAGTATTTTTCAAGCTTCTTCATTTCATCTAAAGCGTCGACCTCCAAGAACATCTGCAGGTCTTCAACGGCTGATTGTGCTTCATTCATGAAGGAGATCATATCATGGTTGGTCATTTTCAGAGATGCCAGCTTATTTGCCGAATCATAAAGGCATTGGATATTGTTGGCATATATGTTTTGAGTCCTCTTCCAAAAAGAGTGACATGTCTTGAAGTCCCTAAAAGACATTAAAAGTCTTGGCTCCACGGATCGCCACAACAGGGCACACAATTGAAAATCTACTTGTTTCCATTGTTCGCTTTTTTCTTCAGCCACATGGCTTCCGTCTTTCTCAAGATGGTCATGATGTCCCTGGCCAAGGAACCACATCTCGATGGCAGCAGACCAAGAGAGGTAATTTTGTCCGTTTAGCTTCTCGGAAGTAATAGAAGGACTTCCAGAGAATGAAATAGAGTTTCCAGCACTTCAAGTTGCCATTTCTGATCAAGAGGACAAAAACAGAGAGCAGATACGCAAAAACAACTATGATTTTTGAAAGTCCTAGGGAGATTTCTGAAAGGGGGACGCTTGGACTTCACCAAAACTTAGTTTGGAAGGTCAAAACGAACAGAGGAGGTTCGGGCAAAAGCTACTGAGGTGGCGTTATGACAATCCGACGAGTGCACGGCGGCGCGTGGACGGAGATGGTGCGTGTGGCGGCGCGTCGCAAGGAGTCTTCCTTCGGCACCAACAGGGATTGTCGTCACTCGGAGAGACGGTCCAGATCCGGTGGTTTCCAGACGAAACTGCGGTGGCTGTCGGCGATGGGCGACGGATGACGGTAGCAAAAGGTGGCGAAAAGATGCTTGACAATGTTGGACAGTCCAACAGAGCAGAGGATAACCTCAGATAGTGATAAAACTAAGCTTGGACGGCCGTAGACAGCAGTGGCTAATGGTGGACAGCCGCGGACAGCGGTGACTGATGGTGGTGGACAAGACCAGACAGAAACCAGAACGGGATCGACCCGCTCTGATACTAACTTAAGATTAATAGAGAAAAAATATATCTCTAGGGCTCACGGGACCCTTCTCCCTTTCTTCTATTTATAATGGAAAATCTGATACAATGAGACATAGAAGACTAAGTAAGAGACTGCAACTAGGACCCTAGGTGCAGACCTAGATATAGATGTAGGAAGTTTCCTACACTCAGCACCCTATACTTAGGTCTAATGATAATACTAGGAAGTAATGATTCTAACAATAATTTTGACTAAACCTGAATAGTACGATGAATCCATAAGACTCCACAATCATGCCAAGAATAGGCCACCCCAAGAGAAGAATAAAGAATCCAATACCAAAAGAAATGGTTCCCTACAAAAACAGTAAAGATGTAAAAGGTTAAATGAACCATGAAGGGCTCATGGAATGAAGAATGAAAGAGATGATAAATATATAACTAGTTTACCTTGAAATTACTACGTTTCATGAAGAATTGCATGGTGGATTTAAGTCCAATGGTTAGGGATACTCCAGAAACAAAGAGGATCTGATTTCAGTGACAAATGTAATAAAAGATATTATGAAGTACAATCACACAACAAACAGAAAGATAAAAATCATAAGCATGAAATCTGTCAACACTTACATTGCCCATTGCTAGCAAGCCCTTGTCAAAGAAGAAGATAACACCAAGGAATGAAAAAACTATACCAAAGCCCGTTAATCCCAATCCAATCTCTGTTTAATGTGCCAATGCAAAGATTAAATTTCAGAAGATATTAGAATATTAAAATAACAAGTCATACATAGAACAAGCATATGCCAGCTATATAATGTTTACAATTAATCTTATCATCTCCTTTTGTTAGTCAAGATTACAGAACAAATATGCAAAAGCATGGGCACTAATAAATGCCTTTAAACTGATATTAAGAAAGATGTCTGAATCCAAGAAACTGAAGAAAATATGTTCAGAGCACTGGTATAGCTGCTATAGCGTTGTGTAAGACATATTGTTACTTCTACATAATTACAAAAATAAATTTCAAGAAAGTATTTTGGTATAATATTTATACAAGTAATGACTATTTTACCTACGTGATTCAATTATCAATAGCTTATAATAGAGTTGTCAAAATAGCCAAAATGCAAATATGTTTAATTTCTTGCTTAGGATGGAGAAAATAGGCAGAAATTATGCTCTTTTTCTTTTCCTCTTACTTCTCCTTTTGCTTCTACATGGACAAAAGTCACCATGCGCCCAGCATAATGCATAAACACAACACATTGTCCACACTAAGCCAACTTCTCGACAAAGGAACTATGATAAAAACCAACGCAATGAAGATAAGTAGTAATCACTTGGAGAAAATATTTAAAAACGCATAGCGTTATTAAAATAGATGGAAGCATTAACTGAATGCAAATTTGGACTCGTTAAAAGAACTTTGCTAACTGAGAAAAAATTATTGGTCTTTTACATATTATGTGATTTAAATCCTCTAACTAACCATTATTAAAACCATGAAAATGAAAAATACACAGGGTAGAGGAAGAGAAGATACGAAGCAAATTAGCACAATCCTAATATAAATCAGAATCATTTCATGCAGATAGATTTCCCCAAAATAAATTAATTCAATCAATAATTTATTATGGAATTATTGCAAAACAGAAAACCAAGTCATATGATCACACTATTGCCAGCATAAAAGTCAAATTCCACTTACTCTTCCGATCATTCATTTCAAACGAAACCATTTTATGCCAATGACTCAGAAGTCCAAGTGTCTTGCCGTCACTGATCGAATGCTGGAAGAAAACAAGTCAATTAATAAAAATCATATGAAATGCATACATATTATCAACTGGTTTGAAATAAGGTTGACATAGGAACATACAGCAACATTATAGCCAACATAAATCTCAATCCAGGGAAAAATTCCAGTTGAACCGACAGTTAATTATAAAATATAATGTGCAATTTTGGTCTATGGAAAATGGTGTTGACATCAATTTTCCATGTGGATGCCTCTTTCATCTCCAAAATCACTTTCTCTCTCTTCCTCTTCAACCAAACGTTCTCTAATAGCAGACGCCCATAGGGAAGCCAGAAGCACACCAATTCTCCAATTAGTACTTTTCATACTCATACAGAATTACATGCTTCCAGATTATTTTACATCCTTAGTCCTTTGAAGCACTTATAGTAGGCATAATAACGCACACATGCATGGTGGGTCTGAGAAAATTGAGAAAGCAAGCAACAATAAATTCATTCTTTACAAGTTTCAACAGTTAAAAGGTTGACAAAAACAAAATAGACAATTTCCCCATAGAGACCATCAAGGCTCAAACATTCGTCCATAGCTCATACTAATGGTCAGAAAATCAGAATCCTGTAACCTAAACCAAAATCACTTTACTGGTTAGTAAAACAATCATTTATGATTAATACCAAAAATTAATTGGGTAAAATCCAAAATAACTTCAGCAACTACTCCTTGGGCCATCGTCATTCATTAAGGATCTTAACCGAGAAATTTTTTTAATCATTTATACCTGGTAGCAACCAGCAAACATAATTCCCAAATCAGAAATAGCAATTGACACTTACTAAATCTACAAGAACCCCAAATTATTTTTTCCAAATATTCATATAAAGCATAAACATCCCTTGAACTCAGCAATCACTCAAAATCTGCAATCACCGCGTCAATTCCTTCAAAACTCAATAAAAAATTAACCTGCTCACAGGTACAACAATCAACCAATTTTGAAATCCCATATGCCCAGCAATGGCTGTCAACACCCACAATCAACACTGTAATATCTGATACCCTATGAATGGGACTTCACAGACCAGAAACTCAATCATCTTAGCAGAATTTAGACCCTTCTCTTCTGTTAAACCCTTTTCCACAGTCTTCCCTGAAGCCCTGAACCATGACAGACCTCAAAACAGAAGACAAAATGCAATGAATTCAGCAATTAAAGCATGTTTCTTATTTTGGGACCAAACCCTGAGATTTTGATCTTGCAGTTTTTGTTGAGTTTTGGCAAAGGGATTAAGTTTTATTTACAATTTTAGAGAATGAATTTTTCAATGGTGACATGACATCCATGTGGATGAAGGTGGCATAAATCCACAACTGCTCTTGACATGTCATTTATGACTTTGTTAATTGGCATCCTAAAGAACTTTGACTGAAGGACCGATGCTATTTGCTAGTTTCCCTGTTTGAAGGATTAATAAAATAAAACTAAAACAGCAAAGTCCTAGTATAATAAACCCTTACAAAGATACATGGTCAATTAAAACCAAAATAAAGTAGTCAACTCCAGTAAGCTAGTGTTACTTTGTAGTTAATAGCATGCATAACACCACTATAGCCAAGAGGAGTGGCCCTAGGCTGCTAGGGTATTCAAATCGCTAAACAATTTTCAATAGTAGTTTTTCACACACTATAGTGGCAATACCATGATACAGGCATCACAAACACATTTTTACCTTAGAAACAATGTTGTTGTGTCTTCTTTTTATTAAAATTGTGATTTATCTCACACTTTTTCCTTACATTCCTTCACTCTTTCCAGGACTTGTTTTTTCCGTGTCCTGTTTTTTCTTCTTTTAAGGCTTCCCACTTCACATTCTGCTAATTTTTGTCTAATATGTTATGTTCTTTTTCTATTAATTTCATCATCGTCTTTCATTTTTTTACTTCATTACTATGCTTTTTTCATTGTTCATAGAGTAATGGTGATTGTCTGTGTAAAGTGACATTCATAATGAAATTCTTTAATTGTGTTTTTTCTTTTTTCTTTTTTGAAAATTTCTATTAGTAGTACAAGTCATTTAGTCTGTGTTATAATCCCACTATAACATTCTCAGAGCTAGCCACTAAGCACTACTTCCCAAGATTGGAAACTATGCTATCGTAGATCCCTATTAAGTTCTAAAAACTTAAAATCTGCATTATCGGTGCCATTACAAAAATTGAACTGCATCAATTAGCATCTATTTAAAGTCAATACAAATGCAATAGGCGAAAAGAATGTTAAAAAATACAAGGATGAGTCTAAGTCCCACTGTAAAAATAAGATAATTGAACAACATAAAAGAAAATATGACTCATAATCTAATGTGATAAGGTTTCGGGGTTGAGAGTGGTATAATCCTTACGTATTGAGCTCTTGTCTGTGTTTTTTCCTGTGAATCCCTCTAAAGACTCAATCAAGAAAATAAAATATGAATAGTTAAACAAAAAAGAAAAACCGCAAAACTTAAGCAACAAAGATCACAATAGTCTAATCCTGATAGCAAATAGTGGCATTAGCCTAACCCAAAGCATCCACAACTAACTGTAACAAACGCCAGATCTACGAAACTATCATACTACAGCATAGCAAACACAATATTCTCCAACAACAGAAACAAATACATAGCAACTAGAAACTAATGCTTCCGCGTTACTGTTTACTTGCCACTGTCCCATTCTAATAACCAAATTCAACTAAAAACGGTTGAGAACACAAACAAGTAACACGAATTTCTCCGCGGCAACACGCTTTTGCGCTTCGACAAACGAAAAAGCGAAACACAGAAAAACCATCCATGCCCGAACATTTTCTGATTAGAGAGAGAGAGAGAGAGAAGTGCTCTGAAATCTAACGTGAAAAATTTGATCCAATCGGAAAACAGTATTGACGTGTTTGGATCTCGCATCGCATCGCATCGCATCGTAGTTTCGGCGAAAAATAGAAAGGGATCCAGCAACTGGAACAGCAAAAATCTTCAGAGAAAAGGTGATTACCGGTTAACCTAGCGGGAAGTCGCCGGGAAGAGGTGGTGATCAACGGCGGCTACGGTGGCGGAAGTGTTGATTCGGCGACGAAGATGGAAGTGATTTTATGGAGAGGCGAGAGGTTCAGTGTAATGGTTTTTCACTGTTTCTCAGTTTCTTTGTTGATTAGCTTTGTTCGTTGGCTTTTCCTTGTATCATATATTCCAATGAAGGATCAGAATTAATCAATGATGTTGTTCAGCCAATAAAATGAGAGGGAATTTTGTGAAAGACTCCTTTGAATTAAATGCATTTTGTTAAAAAATATATATATAAAAGATAATATATTATATAAATTTAAACTAACGTATGCAGAATATGAAACATCCTACTTCTCAGTTGTTAAATTTTAATAAAATATTTATTGAAATTTTAATAATTAAATTATTAGAAATTGGATAAAATAATTATAAAATTTTATGTTTATTAAATTATTTATAATTTTTTGAAATTAAAAAAAAAATACTCAAAATTGACCCATTTTTTGGGTAACTAGGCGCTAGACAGTAATTATATGTTTTAAGGTAGAAATTAAAAGTAAAAAAAGTAATTAAATTAAGAATTTAATAATATTATAGAGATGAATAGTGGATAATTTGGTTAGACCCTTGTCATAAGATTAGAGAGTCATGAGTTTGATTATTGTATATGCATTACAACAATTATAATTTTTCTATTATTTTATAATTGTTAGAAAATACTCATGTGTGTATTGAGTGTGAGTACATTAAAACTGTACTATATGTGTGAGTTGACAATAGTCATATGATGGTTGATATGGTTTGGAGTAATGTTTGAGTCTTAGGAATTATATGGGTTCAAATCCTAACTAGAGTAAAAAAGAAAAAAATAATGCATAAACTTTTCGTAGCACGGGAATTCGCTGAGCGTATTGTGGTTTGCCTCTAATCCGCTGGGCGCATCAGGAAATTTAGGTGAATTAGAAATTTGACTTTTAAAAAGAGTGTCATTCTCTCTACAACCGTAGGTTTCCTCATTTCTCTCTTTCTCTCAAAACTTTCCTTACCTGATATAGTTTGGAGTAATGTTTGAGTCTTAGGGGTTGTGGGTTCAAATCCTGACTAGAGTAAAAAAGAAAAAAATAATGCATAAATTTTTCGAGCGCACGGGAATCTGCTGATTGTGGTTTCAAATCTCTCTATTATTTGTTGTCTCTAATCCGCTGGGCGCATCAAAAATCTGCCAAGCGGGAATTTAGGTGAATTATAAATTTGACTTTTAAAAAGAGTGTCATTCTCTCTGCAACAGTAGGTTTTCTCATTTCTCTCTTTCTCTCAAAACTTTCCTTACCTTCAAGCTTGATTTTGAGGGGGAAATCTTGATTTTCTTGAGGAGCTCCAAGAGGTAAGTTTTTTTATCTCAATCTCCTCTACATTTCTACGGTTTTATTTTTCAAAATGGTGCATTTTCTATTTTTCTACTCACTTGGCTGAGCTTGAATGGGTGTAGGAAGAGTGTTATTGTAGGTTTTACACCTAGGATACTAGAATAATGCTTAGACTTGAGGATTAGAAGTGGTTGAGCTAAAATCTTTACGAACCCTAATTCGTAGGTACTGTTCATTTAATTTCTGGGACTTGTGTGAACAGAATTAGGAACTTGTATTTTCATGAAAGTTGTAGTCCTTTAAGTTATCAAAATTTAGAAACTGGTTTCACATTAAATAAATATCTGTAGCTCAAGTTATGCCTATTTTACTGTCAAGTGTTCTAATTGTGACGTTAAGAGGTAGCCCTATTTCAATAGCCTCGGTTTTTGAATTACTGAGATTGATATGTGTGAAATTAGGACATGATTTCTTCATAAAAGTTGTAGGAAATTATATTCCCGAAATTTAGAAATTGGTTTGATGTCAATAGCTTATGTGTAGCATGAGTTATAGTCAAATTACCAAGGCATGTCCAGAGTGTTATTGTAGTTGAGCCTAGTTGGAAACAACCATTGAAAACTGCATCTATTCTATAGGTTATTTCAATTTATTTCCTTCCTCAATATTGTAGGTAATTAAGTTATTGAAATTTTGGCTCAAATCCCATGCCAAAACAACTTATATAACTCTAGAAAATTCTGAAATACTGAACCTTGTCCATGTTTGCTATTAGGATTCTTCTTACTCTAAGTGTATACAAAATAGGATAAATTTCGAAGTTAATTGTAAGTTGTGAGCTTAAAATATTATTAGAAATGGATTAGCAAAACAAAGTGAATTTAAATTCTCATGAGATAGAACCATAGAAATATAAGATTCTAACTAGCATTTTATTACGTATATAGATTTTGCTGGAAAACAACATCAAGCTTTGAAAGGAATAAGTGTGGACGTATCAGGTAAGGGGTGGGCTATATAGTAAGGATTACATCATAAACTTGTTTGACCTTATTTGTTGAAGTTGTCTAAATTTGTTATGATTGATAATTTTGATTTCATTATATGCTTGGTTGTGAAAGTGATAATGAATTGCTTACGTGTATAATGGTGTAAAATACATGTTTGATACTCTATTATGATATGTATTGTCTTTGAGTGAGCATTTATATGCATGGTGGTTTTTCATGAGAAAGTTTATTGAAAATTAAATTGAAAAAAATTGGATGATGGGTTGTGAATTTGTTTTTAACTTTATTGGAAGTTTTCTGCTTGTAACATGTGATTGGAAATTTTTGGAAAGTTCATATTACAGGGGAAACTCTGTCAAAATATTTGGAAAAATGTGACTTTCTAAGAAAAACCACTTAAGGACTCATACATTATTCAACTGAAAATGGTGATTTGTGAAATCTAGGGAATCAGAGATTATGAACTCTGAGAATACGATAGGGAGGCCCTGAGGGAGGACTTGAGGATAGGAAGGCTAGTGGTTGGAGGCCCCAAAAGACCCAGGCTCACTACCTATTGTCAGGGATCCCACTGTACAAACTCTCCTGTACCTGACTATGCTTTTACCGTATATCAGTGGTCAGTGAGCTACTGGTTTATATTTGAGCATGGTCTCAACAATCCCGTGGGTGGATTTTTCATGCCTAGTAATGTCAACTCCTGGCTATCCCAGTACTGATTTGAGAAATGATTTGGGCCCGCATGCATAAACATTTTAGAAAATATATTAGGATCATGCATCATTAACATCAATCATTTGGAATTTAATTGACTTGTGAATGTTTATGATGATTTTAAAATGATGTATGAACTGTTGCCCAGCCTCTTGTCTCTCTGTTTTCTTTATTTCTTTTGTACTTGCGGTACTCGTGGGACTTGATCGGTCATTGTTTAAAGAGAGGGGAGGTGGCACAGATTCCACACCCGATGAATATGACACTCATACTCATTAGCTGAAAGCCACAATGATGGCAATATGTATTGGGATAAACATATTCAATCTTTTATAAGCAGTCCTTTGTGGTACATAGACCTATACGGTATTGGGTAGTAGTCACTCTTATGTGTAGTTTGCTGCTCTGTAGGATGTTATCTCAATGTTACCCCTAATATTTTGAAGGACTGTAATTAATATTTTATCTATATGTAATTATGAATGTTTACTTTTAGTACTTTCTAAAATGATGAAATGCAAGAATGGGTTATTGAAAATTTACATGTTAAAGTTTATTTTTACTATTAATGCATTGGTTTAATATATTAATATTATGTATGAGAGAAAGATTATTATTGGTTATTAAAAAAAATTCGCTAAAAATTATTAATTTTTCTGATTGAGGATTTATAAGGTAGGGTGTTATATTAGTGGTATCAGAGCAGTTCGACCCTTTAGGCCTGAGGAAAAGTCTACTTAGACTTTTGTGCACTCTTTGTGGGGAATTATATGTAGGAAATTACCATGATTTAATATCAATTATGATTACTTGATAACTTAGTCGAATTTGATTCGATTATCAGGAATCAATGGCTGGACGAGGTGCTGGATTAGTTAATTCAGTGGAGACTAATTGCTGCAATGGAGCAGGATCGACAAGCTCGAGTGCAACAGGATCGTGTCCTCGAGGTGATGATGCTTTGACGAGATTGGATTTATTTGAGAAGAGGAACCAACCTCGATTCAAGGGAGGATATGATCCTGAAGGTGCACAAGTTTGGCTCAGAGAAATGGAGGAGATTTTTCGTGCCCTACGATGCACAGAGAATAATAAGGTGGTGTTTGTTGCTTATGCATTAATAGAAGATGTTGAATATTGATGGGACGGAGTGAGACAAAGATTGGAGGGGGAAGGTATAATGATTACATGTCCTTTGTTTCAAGCGAGATTTTTGGAGAAGTACTTTTCATAAGATGTTCGAGAGAAGAAAGAGATGGAGTTCTTGGCACTGACACAAGGATCCATGAATGTAGGAGAGTACGCAACAAAGTTTGAAGAACTTTCACGATATCATCCCCACTACCACAATGTCATCAACGAGAGGTCAAGGTGTGTGAAGTTTGTCAATGGACTTCGCCCTGAGATTAAGGAAGCCATAAGAATGCAGGAAATTCAAGAGTTTCCTACATTAGTGAACAGATGTAGGATTTTTTAAGAAGACCATAAAACAAAGATTGTTAAGTTTTGAGAACACCGTTCTGAGTCTTCAGAAACAAAGAACTATGGGCCTCAACATAATCGAAGGAGAGGAATTGGAAGAGGACAACCATATCAGAGACAACAACATCAAAGGGGACCCACAATTGAGTTTTCTCAGAACCGTGGTAATAGGTGAAACTATATGTCAGCCCCACCAAGAGGAAAATGCTTTGCTTGTGG